CATTATACTCCTGCTATGAGTGAAACCATCCGGTATTTTTCTTTCTCTTTCTGGCTTATCTCACTAAGCTAAACACAAGACTTTTAATGCAGACTTCATTAATCTTTTAAAAGAGCCATAGGTCACTAAGGCATGGCAATGTTGTAATAAAACTGGAAGGGCAAATTTTGATACAAGTGCTTTTAAGAATATTGTAGTCTTAATATAATATTTTAACAGGTAAAGGTAAGGGGCTAGATATATTTATAAACCATTTTCCTCAGAGTTACAGAGACTAAAGAATATTTATTAGGTAAATTATAGGTTTAATTAAGATTTATCCTTATTTCATTGTTTGGTGATAAGTTGCATTTCTAAGTATATTTAAAATTTTATTTTCTCATTTTTGTTTTATTTTGAAGAAATGAAAAGAGCCTTCCTTTATAACTATGGGTTTAGAATTATCCCCCAAACATTGTAAGCTTTCCTGAAGACTACAATTATTTGCTTTAGAAAAGAGCTCCTGTTATTAGCATGCTTGTTGTAGAAAAACAAGCATAGAAATATTTTTGCTTATTTGAAATTCTATACTGCATTTATCACAAGTCAAATGTTCCCAGTCATCTTAACAATAATGAAGCACGTTGATAATGACCATGAACTTGTTATAATTAACCTAGTGTGAGTTCTGTTGTTAATTTCAAAAGAAATTTCCTTTTGATCTTTCGTTTTATGAAGCTTAGAAGTTTAGAAAAATCTTAATAAAACATTCATTTTCAAAACCAATGCAAAGATCAAACCTCTTTGGTAACTCAGAGGATTGGAACTAGGAATGATATTTTATTCACCAAATGGGGACCAAGGCTAGAGAGAAGCAAGTAAGTGTGGGGAACTATGTGAGAGACACCAGCATAGGTTGCTTGCATGAATGTTTGTAATTAGTTTAGTGAGGTGGCAGGAACATGGGTTTTAGAACAAACAAGTCCTTTGCATCCTGGTGATGAGGCTGATTACATTGATGGCCCAGTTAATGACGTCCGTGGCCTCAAGCCCAACACAGTGTGACTTTGCAGCTCTTCCCAGCCTTGGAATCTTGGCCAGGTCTGTGACTTGGCTTTTGCCAAATGAATATGGTAGAACTGGTGTGGAGCCAGTTCTCAATCCACGTCTCAAGACTCCTTTCAATTCCTTCTCTCTCCCTCCCTCTCCCTTTCACTGCCTAAGTATAAGCCTGAGCCACGCTGCTGACAGAGAAGAGGTCACATGGAGAAGGGCCTAATGAGGGCATGCTAGGCCAACATCTGGTCAGCGAACTACCAGGCATGAGAGAGTCTGACAAGATCAAAAAAACTCTACCTGATGCTGGATGGTCACCTTTTGAGCACCAATAATGTTTACTGGTTTATGCCACTGAGTTTTGCAGTGGTTTTGTTTTGTAGTGATTGCTAAATGATACACCTCAACTCGTTACCAACTATGGAAACTTCAGGATGTTACTTAGCTTCTTTCACCTCATATAATTCATCTCTGCTTAAATATCTACTATAAGCTATCTCTTTTTGCCTTCCTTATAACCTGTGCTGTGGGTTCTGGTATACCCATTTTATAAACTAATTCTTTTAAAGGTTGAATCCAAGGTCACCCAGTGAGCTCACAGATGTGCAACTTTCTCATAAAGGACCTCACTGGAAGTAAGTTTATAAGAGAATTTATGGAAGAATTATAATAAATGATCTCAAAGGTGGAGTGGTTCATGTATTTTAAGTGTATTTCCCTTAAGCTTAATCATTGAAACTGTTAGTACAGAAAAGATAGGCCTCATTCTTAGTTTACTGAGGCCCTGATTCTTTTGTTGGTCACGCTATTCCCAGGGCCAGGAAGAATTCATGGCACATTAGTGGATATCCATAAATAATTTTTGGAAATATTGATCCATGAATGAATCTTGATGGTGTGTGGAAAATATTTGTACAAAGCCCGAAGTGAAATTTCAAGGGTTCAAAATGGGAGGCCTTCAACCAGAGGGGGAAGGACATGGACAACATGGGAAGGAACACAGTGGACCACAGTGGAGGATGAGGGGTTTTGTTGGAGGGTGTGGTGTGGTAGCAACACCAGAAGGGGGAGATCCTATCCCTGTAAAACACAAGCAACGCTGTAAACCAGCGTTACCTCACTTAAAAATAGAATGTACATATGTAAAAACGTGAAGCCTCCAACAGACAGAAATGAAAATAGCTTTACTTCTCCCACACGATCCCTTCAAATCAATACAGAAAAACTCCCCACATGCTTCAGACAACAGCATAGGTGGTGCTCCCCAAAGGCTGGGGAGTTGAGGTCTTACCCTTTGTTTCAAAATCACCTCCATGTCTGGTAGGAATTCCCAACACAGTGACCCACGTTTCCTGCCCCAAATGTGGCCTGTCCCTGTCCCCACTGGAAGCTGCTAAGCACCAGATGCGCTTACTCCCTTTAAGTAGACACCAGGCAGGGAACACAGCTAGATCTGCAGAAGGTCTAATCCCATTCACAGAGGACTCAAAAGAATGTGTAGAGATGGACCAAAAGGGATCTTGATAGCTTTATAACAATTTTCTTCAGGCTATCTGGAGATAGCTGAATTTTGGATTTTAGTCCACGACTTTAATTCTTTAATGGATCCCTGGCCCAGTCAACGTGTGTGTGTGTGTGTGTGTGTGTGTGTGTAGTGTGTCTAGGTTTACCCATACCAACAGGCAATTCTTTGACACCATTAAAGTAGTCGAGAATTCAACTTAGAGCAGATATTTAATTCTGCCATTATCTGCCCAGACAAACATTACAATCCACAGGAGAAGTGCTCAGTTTTTCAAGACTGCCTTGTATTTCAGATCTAACTGTAAGCCCACGTTGTCACCTATACTTCTCACTTACTGACTAAAATACAGAGGACTCTCGCCCCATCCTCAGGTTTGATTATTTTCCTAGAGTGACTCACAGAACTTAGGAAACCCATTTATTTACTGGATCACCAGTTTATTACAAGGGTTTTAAGCTAGGAGTAGATGGAAGAGAGGTGTAGGACAAGGCCTGGGGAAAAGGCTTGCCACTCTCATGCCCACTCCAGGCTCACCATTCTCCCCAAATTTCCATGTGTTCTCTAACCTGGAAGCTCTTTGAAATCCTTCCTTTTGACTTTTTATGAAGGCTTCATTCCACAGGCATGATGATTAAATCATTGACCATTGGCAATTTCCAACTCTCTCCCACAATACAGGGGGTCTGGGAGAGGAATGGATGTTCTTACACTCTAATCACATAATTAGTGGTCCTGGCAAGCAGCCCTTACCCTTAAGTGTTTTCCAGAAGTTCTTTTCTGTAACACAAGAGAATTTTTTACCACTCACAACGCTTAGGAAATTCGAAGCCTTTGAAGAGCTGTGAGCCAAAAGTCATGGATGATGAGCAAATATGTATGAAACCATTTTTTTGTCATGTGAATTAACAAATGCATATTTCTTGTAAATCACAATATTACAGTAACAGAGAAGCAATGAAAGAGGCAAGAAATAAATAGGTTTCATAATCAAATCTGCCATTTTTTGAGTGGGGTCATTAATTTCATTTGTGTTGCCAACACCTTCCTCCTCTTGCAGAATCCTTTTTACAGCTCAGTTTCCCCAGCTGAACTGAGCTCCCTCCAAACAAGGCCCATGTCTTCTTCCCTGTTCCTGCTCAACCACAGAGGAGGGTTTGCCAGGAGGAAAATGCTGTCCATGATGCTTGGGCATTTGCTTGTGTTACACATATGTGGGTGAACTTAAGGGTCAACATCTTAACTTTTTTGCATTATTGTCATGGAGACCTCAGGAAAACCCAGTGGAGGCTGCTGTCTTGAAACTAATATTGAATTGTTTTAAATTTCCTGAGCGTGTTTAGATCTTCATTCTTTGAGGGACCTGTTTATAGGTGTGTCCCAGAGGAGCAGGTATACATAAAACTCACTTGGATTCAATCATTGATGTGAAACTGTCTCAGTAGTTGGAGGGGTAGTAAAGTGACCCACTTCCCCCATCTGCATGGTATTCCGGAGACTCACCACTTTTATCTCCATTTGTGTGTTGCTTCTGGGATCAGGGAAATGTATTCATTTCCTCAACACTTACTGAGCATCTACTACTTGCCAGGGCCTATGATCTGCTAGGGATACAAAGATTGAGAATAAGGTCATTGTCCCGCAGGCACAGGGAGGTAAATGGCTACAGTGGAGTAAAAGAGGATGGTTAGAACTTGAAAAATAAATTAGGGTGAGAATTCAGCAAAATGTTACTGGGTGGAGCAGGGAGGGGGATTTGTTCTGACTTGTCTTACTCTTACAGAAACATGGGAACAAGTCAGCTGGTAAAGGAAGGGTCAGATGTTCTCAGTAAACAAGACTATGGCAAAGATTAAGTGTCTCCAAGCATGGCCAAGGGGACAACAGTTTTAGATGACAAAACCTTCCCAAGTCCTCCATGAGTCCCATCTAAGCCATACCAAATAAGCATGGAATCTAAGAAAATCAACCAGCACATGCAGATTTCTAGCCCCAAATAGCAGTTCTAAAGGAGTCCCTATGGGATGGGTCTTGTACACTGAAAGTCTGGTCTGGAAGGATGAGAGGGAGACGTGGAGTTTGTACCACACCACATATGTCCCTCCCTCCTGATCCTGATATATCAAACTCCTTCCTCTCCCATCTGATGTTGTGGGTTTAAATAGAATGAAAGCTGATATTATGGGCAAGGTTTTTGCCAACTGAGGATGCAGAAACCTACTCTTCCTGGTCATGTGGACCCTAAGAATTCGAGTTAGAAGACGAAGGGATCATGCCTTCCAAGCTTACCTATCTCTCTAGTACCCACTGACGTGTCTGTGTTCATAGTGGCACAATCATTTGTTGGGTGAATGAGAAACGAAGTCAATATTGGTGAGCAAATATTATTTTATTTATAATTATAGAAGGAATGAATGTTTCACTCAATGCTACCCACTGAAAATTAATATAAGTTTGAATAGCAGTTCAGTGATGTCAAGAATAATGTATTATGGGCATAATCCAAGTCCTAGAGAAATAAGCAGATATATTTTCAAAGTATAAGGACAACTGACATTAAGTGTCTTCCCTGTGGATTCTTTACTGATGATGGAAAGTTAAAAACACCCTAATCCCACAAGAGTGACTCACCTTTTCATCTTTGAGGGCTGGTCCATCTACCTCAACCATGACATTTGCTTAAAAGATAAACCAAGCCCCATTACAAATAAAAATGACATCTGGACAGCTCTTCAAGGATGAACATTTTATTGGAATATAGGCACTTGGCAAAGTAAATATGTGGTTACAAAGTGTTTCAGTTTTATCTGCTTTACAGCATGACTGGTAAAACCAATGCACAGTGTAGGGTTTTCTTCATGAAGTTCCAGACTTGAGCAGGCAAATTCCCAACCCCATTCATTTAAGATCAAGTAAGAAGGCACCGAAAGCTAACTATTTACCTAGTGCAATTGTCTTTCTATTTCCATCAGTGATGTTTTTCCCTCCCCCAGACTAAAATGACTGGCTTGCATATATCATTTGGCACTTCAGAAAGAATTAGAATCACCTTTGGCTATGAGAATTGTGAAGTCCTTTGAAATCACGGAGTCCAGTCTGGACGACTACAAAACCAGACAAAAATCAGTGTTATAAGGTGTAGAAGAGCAGACCTTAAGCCTGCAGTCCTTGACACTCAGCCTCTTTAGAAAGCTTTTGGACAAATTAGAATCTTATCCTTGTGATCAGCACAGTACACTTCTTGGAGAGTTTATTCTGCATAATTCAAGGCACTGCTCTTTTTCTTTCCCAACTATAAGGAGAAAATTACATTTTTTTTCAAGGAAATATTCTTTCTTGATGAAAGGTAAATTAACATCATTAAAGTCCTGGCGTTTGGGGCAAAACCACATCTTAAGGTTTTATGTATTTCTAATGGGTTTGCCTGCGGGAGAGGTCTCCAGAGCAGTGGTCAAAAGCTTTTCATGCTGTTCACTCAAATCCCAACCTCCTTCATGCAACCTGGAATGCACAGGAACACCAAATACAAGTCTGTATTTAAAGCAAGACAAAGTCAGGAATACGAAGTTATTCTGCTCAATGTGTTCAAATGAATATGGAATATTTTTAATGCAGTTTAACTTCCTGTTCCATCCTCCTGCTTAGTCCTGTGAACTTGTCTTTTGTGAAATATTTATAGGAATAGTCTTTGACTGTGTTCTCGAGTACATCCTCCCACTTTTACCATCTTCTCTGGCCTACAGGACAGACGAAGCAGGGCACTGATGTTTATCCATCTAACACAGAGTATTAGAATAATGAAATGTACTCTTTTTGGTTTAGAAGAATCTCTTCTTTTCCCAGAGGGTGCAAGAAATCCTGAGTTTAGCCCAGGAAGGAAGCTAGGAAGCCCTGAGAAGGGTCAGCCTGGGCTGGAACCTCCTTTGCTTGGCTTTTCCCCAAGCACAGCCTTGTGGGCTGGACACTACTTCTTGGCTACAGGCCTTACTGGGCAGCATCTAATCACCTGGCCATCCGCCTTTTGGACTTTGGGCTTGATTTAAGGGACGACTCCCCCAGGGCAGAACGTCCAAAGAGCTCCAGCACAGCAATAAAGCAGAAGTTCAGTTTTCTCCTTTCCTGCCCTTCCTGGCAGGGGCTAATTCCTGTGTTGACTTTAAAGAGACTTGAGGAGGCAGAAAGCCATTATTCAAGGCTCAGTGTTTCAAGCAGGAAACACATCTGATGACTAAACCCTGGTTTCTGTCTTTGAAGAGAGGAGTCTCAGGGAGAGACAGGACGTAAACATAATTTCAGTAACCTGTGCTAAGTGCAAAGACACTGGCTACCTGTGTGATGTGGGCTGGGGGAGGCAGAGGATATATACTCTACCTTCTCACCTATAAACAGGTCCCTCAAAGAACGAAGACCTAAACATGCTCAGGAAATTTGAAACAATTCAATATTAGAATATACTGATCATGATTTTTATTTCATCCTTTTAACCTACACATCCAACAAGTTCTTCATTAGGAGGTAGAAAGGGAGATATTTCAATTCTAAATGGCTAAGTTAGATTGTGGGACAGATATGTACAGAACAAATACAAATTTACTTGTTGCTGATGATGCAAACAAGCTCTTAGGATAATGTGTTTGGGAATTAATATTAAAATCTATGGAAGAAAATATCAAGATGTAGTTTCTAGGAATGAAGCTTAAGGAAATTATCTGGAATTTTTCTGAAGGATTATAGAACCTGTGTTCTTCATCTTTTGCAAGTTTAGTCCATTCCAGCTTTAACATGAACAGCTATGCGTCATGCTCCATTTAGAAGATAGATCTGTGTTTATTTCCATTAAAAATGAAATAAAAAAATCTTTTTGACTACAAAGTCTCAAGCTCTGGGGATCTCAGGGGACCTAGGTAACTTGCCAGATGAGTTAACAAATTATTTCTACTCTTGGTAAAATCTTTGGAACTTGATAATACGCATTTTGGCTTCTCTCTGTTTCCCTCATTCCCTCCCTCTCTTCATTTCTTATTGATGATTCATTTATTCACTTTATTTCCTTCTGGGAATGAGGCAGGACTATTTGAGTAGGAAAATAGAAAGCTGTCATGCTTTGAAAACTAGCACAGTTTTTCCTCCTAGAGTTAATTCCCTTGGGTTCTTTAACTTACACTATACAAAACCCTGTAGTATCTTTTCTTATTTTTGTTACTATGTTTAATGTAGTACATGGTATAGAGTAACTGCTTAGTAATATTTGTTGACTGGTAGGTTGGAAGCTCAGTCACTTAGCTAAGCTCTTTCTCAGCATGGTCTAAGGCTAATTTGGAATGCTTTCAGGCTTGAACATGCCAAGGAAACTTTCTTGTCTCCTCTTAATTTCCCTAAAAGGTGATTAATTAATAAAAATCAACAAGATTAATGAACTTGAAATTGACAGCAGAATTAGTGACAGGCCCAGACAGCTCCATAGACCACAACTTTCCTCCAGTTCAGCTCAGCGTCCCTGCAGATGTCTCAGACTTGGTAGGCTGCATGAGGCAAGAGCCTTGCGGTCACATCCCACACTTCCTTACAGCCCAACTGTGGATAGGTGCTGAGCCCTTAAGAGACAGTGAAGTTGGCATAAGAGGTTGTGAAGCTGGATTTGCATTTGCATTCTTAGAAAAAATTAAAAAGCCTTAAAGTGCATTAGGAGAAAATGTGCGGAGTGCTGGAGGTTGAGCTCCTCCTGTTTTCAGTGTTTGTGGCAACCCAACCTCCTCAGCTGCCTCTCACCCCAACACTCCATCACTGTGAAATCCCTATTAACACGCTAAAGCAATGTTCATGATAGAACTGTTCAGTTCCACCAAGGTTTGCCTCAGTCTGCATGGCTTGTTTCATCATATAGATTAAGGAAGTAATTAAAAATATTTTTGTAACAATTTGCATGCAACCTTTAAGTGTACCTATAACTAGAACCCTTGGCTGAATTTATTCAAAGGAATACTTCTGCCACATTGTCCTATTTACTCCTCAGAGGGTGGCTCAGGGCCACTCTCCTCCTTCTGTGAGCCTAGGCTATCGAGGTCTGGCGGATTCTCGACCACCCACTGACACTCATAAACACGCGGAGGGTCAGCCTGCATCTCTGCATCCATGCTGGCGGGAGTCTGGGCTGTGCTGCATTGTCCTCCCGCCTCTTCTCCTTCCACAGAAACCTGGCTCTCATGGGAGCCGGTGGGGGCAGAACTGAAGGCACAATCTCCCTGGGGCAGGGCCTTTCCCTCCACAGAGTGGGCCTCCAGTGGGCAAGCCCTCCCTGGGAGATCCCTTTCTGCAGGCTCTTCAGGCTCGGCCTGCTCCTCTGTGGAGTCTGGGCTGCCGACCTCTCCGGTGGCGCCTCCACAGGCTGGCTGAGCCTCTGGAAACTCCTCCAATTCTGTCCCAGCAGCCTGGGCCTCTCTAAGGGGAGAAGCCTCCTCCTTGCTCATTTGACTTTCTTCACAGTTGTCCTGACTGGAGGCTTCTGCCTGACTGGCCTTTGTGGAGACATGGGTTGCTGCCTCTTCTTTTTCAATTTCTGGAGGAACCAGGGTCTCCTTAATTGTATCTTTTTCAATCTCGAGGTGGACAGATTCTACCGGCACCTCAATGGCCACTGTCAGCAGATTTCTGAGCTCCTTTAAGGAACCTGAAGGAGATGCAGATTCTGGCTTTAGGTGGGTGGAGGCTTCATCCTCAGGAGACCCTCCAAACTCCGGTTCTGCCAAGTGTGTGCCTGCCACTGCTGCTGGAGCCTCTTCAGTCACAGGAGCCCCAGGAAGCTCATCCACGCTTGAAATAATCACCTGCCCAACTCCACCGGCAGGAAGACTGGCCATAGGGAGAGGACTTTCTCCTTTGGGCAGCTGACTAGGGCCCCCTGGCTTCTGCTTCTCCCCTGACTCCTGGAATACTTCGTTATTTAGGGTCCCATCACTTGGACCCCCAGGCAGAATGGCGGACGCTCTCCGGGCAGGGCTGGCTTGGTTTGAACCTATAGAGGTTTTTAGATCGATTAAGCTGGACACACTTTCACTGGGCAAGGTCATGTTGTCTTCAAATAAGTTGTGCTTCTTCAGGATGGCAGCTTCCTTTATCACTGAAAGATACCAAAAGAGAAGGAAGGCATGACATTAGCATTCTGCCCTGACCAAAGCAGATCTTCCAATTTTATTCAGAAGCCAAATTCCCTGCTCAGCTTTTCGGGCTCTCCAAATTTCTCAATCTCAAGTTTTAGGCAAATATCACCTTTTCCAGGGAACACTTCCTGATGGTCAAAGCTAAAAGCTCTTTTCAGACTTGGGATCACGGCAGTGTTCATCTATTTATTTCTTCACTCCTCATTTATTGAAATAACAAAAATTGTCTGGGCATCTGCTATGGGACCAGGTTAGACTCTTGATAGTGGACTTACTGCTGTACATACAGCTGCTGATTTAAAATTAGGGCCCTCCCTGGTGGCGCAGCGGGTTAAAGCACAGCACTAAGAAGCTAAAGCCACTTCCGCATGAGTTCGATCCTGGCCCCAGAGGTGACCACATGGCATGGCAGACCTCTAGTGACCAGCCCGCTGCTCCCCTCAGCAGTGTATTTCACCAGTTGGCCTGTTCTGCTCCCTACTCTGTCACTAGTGAATCCTTCCACCACCCCTGTACCTCTGGCCTGTACCCCAGTTCTGTGTGCATAAAAAATCTTTTAAAAAATATATTGTAGTTTATTATTGTAAAAACACAAAAATTATCTTTTCATAGAGCCTTCTTCCTTTAGATTAATTATTAAAGTAACATTGTGTTATAGCATGAGGTAAGTTTCAGGTGTGCTTCATTATAAAATCACATGTATATATAGTAGATGAAATTCACCTTGAAAACTCCAATTCTGTCCTCCCCTGTACGATTGGCCTCTTCATCTGACTTACCTTCTGGCCACTACTAATAGCTCTGATAACTTAAACACTTTTCTTTTATTTGGTTCATTCATTTTTTAAAAATTTCTTCTATAACTATTTCTTTTGTAAGTTCTAACTAACTTCTAAAAGTTATTTCTTCTATCACATTTTAGCAAAATAAAACAATCACTCTGTTTTACTAAACCAAAAAATCTAGATTTTCCTGCTCAGTGCTGCCCCTATCTCACGGCAGGCCCAGGGCATTTCAACAGCTGCTTCTGCAGCATGAGGTTCTGCAGCCTGATCCCCGGGGCGGGACTGGCTGCTCTCTGCTTTTCTCCCAGGACAATGTGTAATGGAAACTCAGTACCAAGCATGTGCCATGTTGCGCTATGGCCTAACGTGAGGGCGCGGCAGCCCCAGCGCAGCCCCGGCGCCGTGGAAAGCAGTTCCAGCAACAGTCACAGCAGCGGTCTTTGGTACCCACGACCCGCTGCTCCACCTGCACCGGGCACTCAGTGCCCCCCAGTGGCACAGCCCAGGTGTTCCAGCCACCTCGGGTAGCTCAGGCTGTATTCGGTGAAATTGATGGGGTTCGGTGAGTGGGGTGTGTGGTTCGTTCTGAGAAAGATTTCAGTTGAGTTTCCTTTTCAGCAGCTCATAGCGAGTTTATTAAGGAAAATGACCGTTGCATTGATACAAACAGGCAAAGGCTGCATTTTAAAGGTTTATTAGGAAAAAGAGAAGGGGTGGGGGGAGGTGCCGGCATAGACGCAGGTGGGCAGAGACCTGCATTTTCCCAGAGTGCTTTGGGGTGATTCATTCCTCTGAGGAATTTTATCACTTTGGGGTCAGGCTGCGTTGGTTTTCTATAACACAGAATCCTTTCTGACCCTACCTCAGATTCCTGAAAACGTCCAGAGCTGGTTTACCAACTGTCAATCACCCGAACCCCTCCCTCTGCTTTTTTGACTGTGAAAACCTCCTTACCCAATGTTTCTACTCACAGCTTTCACCATAATCATTTCTAGCGACGAGCAGTGCAGTGTCCTAACAAAATCAGTCCATTGTGGCAACTTTTGCACAAAAAGCAGTAAAGTGTACAGGGGAAGGAGCCTTTTACAAATTCCCTCAAAGGCGCTGCACTCAACAGGCAGCAACCTTCACCCAGCCTTCCTTTGTGGGGACATCTTGCAGACACCTAAGTGTAAAAGCCTCATCTTGTTGAATCTTGGTGATTATAGGGCCAGACCCTGTCCATGGTCAGTTTTCTTTGTGGAAGGGGTCTATCATACTCAATACCTTCCTTCCTGGTGGCAACCAGGTATGTTTTAGGCCTACAGATAGGATGTGTGTGGGTGGGGGGTGGGTGGGTGGGGGCAAGCTCTAGCATATTCTTTCTAGGTTTCCCAGCAGGTCTGATTCCACAGGACACAGGATAATGGAACCTTAACATTAACGTAACAGTACTGCTGGACCCCTCCAGTGCCTGTGCCAGTTGGCAGCAGGTGGGAGTGTAGTGAGAGGGACAGCCCAGCCCCACCCTGGAGTCGCCTCACGGGACTCTTGGAGAATCAGAAGCCCGTAGCTGGAAAGAGCCCTTTGCTCCATCCGAAGAGCTGCTCAGGAGACACCCTCGCTTGAGTCTCTAAGCCTCAGTTTTCTCAACTGAAAAAAAGAAGCTTACAATTCCCATCTCGCAGAGCTCTTAACTGCAGTGAGAAAGAACTAACATATAGCTCTGGGGCAGTTTGGCATTGGGGCACTCAGTCTCTCACCCAGGCCCTTGCCCTTCTCAGGTCTCCACAGCACCCTGCTGTCAATTACCCTCCCCCTTTCGTACTGCTGAGAAAACTGAGCTGGCTTCTGGTTCCTTCTCCCAGGTGCTAGAGTTCTCTCCAGTCCCAGGTAAACCCTGCTTACCTTTTAGGGTTTCATCCAGGAGGATCTGATGTAAAATCTCTTCATAGACATTTTCAACATGGATCATGTTGGTGTGGTCAGCAAAGATGAACTGCTCGTATTTCTGAAGCTCCTGGAGAGTGAGAGACAAGAAGATAAAGAGGATCAGGCCTGAGTAGCCTATTTGGGACCTTCCTTGAAGTGTGTGACCCTCAGTCATCAGTCTCTCCCTTCCCTCTCCCAGACACCATTCCCTACACTGGGCACATACTATGCACCAGAGACTGTGATCATGTCAAGGCCCCATCCATGTCTCTCGGCCCTACCCCATCATAAACAGTGTTTCCCTACCTTCCTTGTTCCTTCCTATTCTTTTTTCCTTTCCTTCTTCTCTTGCTTCCCTCCCTCCCACCCTTCCTCTTTCCCCCTTTCCTCCCTTCCTTTTTTGAGGTAACAATTTATACACTGCATAGATTTAGAACATTCAGTTCCTCATATTAACAACTATATTAACACACTAAATATCCAGTTATTACCACCAACCACCCTATGTGCTCCTTCCTCACTTTCTAGTGACCATGATTTAGTTGTCAGAAGCTAAGAGTTTGTTTTTGTTGTGTTTATGCATTTACTTTTTTTTCTTTATAGTCCACAAATGAGTGAAGTCATATGATCTTTCTTCTTGTGGTTTATTTCATTAGCATAACCTTCTCCAGGTTCATCCTTGTTGTTGAAATGGCAAGATTTCATCTTTTTTAGGGCAGAGTAGTATTTTAACGTATATATAACACCTCTTCATTCATTTATTGTTGGACACTTGGATTTTTCCTTATCTTGCTTATTATGAATAATGTTGCAGTAAATGTGTGGGTGAATACATATTTTGAACTGTATTTTCATATTCTTTGGGTAAACACCCAGATGTAGGATTTAATGGTTCATACGGTGTTTTAATTTTTTGAGGAACTAACTACTGTTTCCACAGTGACTGCACCGATTTACAACCCACCAACAGTGCACAATGTTCCTTTTTCTTCATATCCTCACCATCACTTATCAGTTCTTGACATTTCCATAATCGCCATTCCAACATGTGATATGAAATCTCATTGTGGTTTCTTTTTCTTTTTTCTTTTAATGAATGCCAATAGTACTCCACAAGGTATACATGGTAAAATGAACACATTTAAAAACTGCAGCCCAGTGACTCTAAGATATCAGCATAGCACATAATCCAGGTCAAGACAGGGAACATTTTCATCACCCAATATACTTTCTAGTCTACACCTTCCAAAGAGAGACACACTGAGCTGATGGTCACTGGGATTGCTGGGCTTAGCGAAGATGGATGATTGACTACTCATTTGGGTGAGAGTGTTTGGCTGCATGGTGAGGAATGGAATTAGACTGTAGTGGTGAACTTAACGTAGTATATGCATATGTTGAATTAAAGTGTATCTGAGTCAGACAAATGTTACGATGCAATCTTCTTCAATAAAAAAATGATTAGTTAGGCCCTCCCTGGTGGCGCAGCGGGTTAAAGCACAGCACTGAGAATCTGAAGCCACTTCCGCATGAGTTGGATTCCCGCCTGCCCCGGAGGTGACCACATGGCTGGCAGACCTCTCCTGACCCGCCCGCTGCTCCCCTCAGCAGTGTACTTCGATGATCTGCCTGTTCTGCTCCCCACTCTGTCTCTGGTGAAGCCTCTCACCGCCCCTGAGCCTCTGGCCTGTACCCCAGTTCTGTATGAATAAATAAATAAATCTTTAAAAAAAAATGATTAAACTAAAAAAAAAATAAGAATGAAACTCCTTTCCAGTGTGGAGAACTTTTAGTCTTTTTAGGAACATTCTCCTCTTCCTTCCAGCTGCCCCCTGGTCCTCCCTGACTCCCTCTAACAAGGGCAGATGTGATGCAAAATGCTTGCACCCTTCTTGCTTTCCAAGGGTTTCCAAGTGGCTTGGAAACCAGTGAACTGTCTACCATCTCCTGTCCTGGGCTTGTTAGCAGCATGAGGATAGAGCATGATCCAAAAGTACCAAATTACATCCTGGTGATTTATTTAGCAATCCTTGCACCTGACAGTCTTGGAGAAGGAACAGGGGTGCATAGCTCTCAGAGAACCAGAGACTTAACAGTGGGATCTGGTGCCTTCTGCCTGCAGGAAATGGATTTATAGCAGATTATTAGAAGTCACCACATTCAGATAACTCTCAGGACTGGCATGCAGAGAGTTTGTCACCCAGGAGCAAATCATAGCAGGCACTCATAGGTCCATCTTTACCCACCTAGAGCGCGGCTAAAGTACTGAAGAGACATAAGCTTCCGTGACCTCAAGAGGATCTGTGAGACTTAACTGGCATGTCGATTGGACACTACCCTGGAGTAGCTATGCCCCCCTGGGCAAACCACAGCACTGCTTACCCTGTGCAGCTTTCTCCCTCTGCAGATGAGGACACATTCTCATGCCCTCAACACCATTTGAGCCCTTAGGGAGCATCCCACTCCGATTCCCTTGGTTGCCATTCACCTCTCAGGACCAGATGTAAAGGACTCTGGGAAGTCCCCATGAGCAGAGCTGGCAGATCCCTCCATGGAGCTCCAGCCAGTGCCTCCCTGTTCCCACCGCAGTGCTCAGTGGACAGTGAACTGTCCACCATCTCCAGTCCTGGGCTGTGAGCCCAACATGGTGGGGAAACTGGCCTGGTACAGTGCTTGGATCAGATGTAATGTGTACTTCAGACATGTTTGCTGAATAAGCAAAGAGTAGACCCTTACCATTTTGACCAGCTAAATATTTCTGTCGAAAAAAATGGTCTCTAGGAGCATTTTACCATTGTGACGTGGCCAATTTTACAAAACAGGTTTTCTATATTGAATTGATTGAACTGTCACAGAAGTTTAATTTACTGGCTCTGGACCAATTAAATGTGAATTTCCAGGCTGGCTTCTGGGGAATCAGAATTTCTCTAAAGCTCCCCAGGCAATTCTAATGTGTTCTTTAGATTGAGGGCCACAGAACTAGAAAGCCACCTAACCAAGGGAAACACATCATCAAATAAAGTATTTTCTCTGAAGCAAGTAAATCCCTAACTCATCTGTTCTGGAAATTCGAAGTTATAAAAATCTCTAACGCTACAGTAGTCTTTATTCCTGAAAGCTCTGGGACACAGTTTCTTTTGAAACCATTTCCTCGATGACAAACTTCAAGAGTTTCTTACACATGGGGAGCATCGCCGCTGATGTTTCAAAAGAGGCGAGCAGACAAGAAGGGGTCTTTCCTTCCCTCCCCCTCTCCGGCCACGAGGTGACTCTGGGGCCCCCAAACAGTTTATGGAATTGAAAAAGGAAACAGTCTGAGAATGTCTGAGGCCAGACGTGCCCTGGTAGCTGAACTTCACCCATTCAATGTTAGGGGACAATCACAGAGGCAGATTCTCTATCCCCAACAGAGATCGAATCCTTCTTTATGAACGAAATAGAACCCCCAATATAAAGTCCAGGCAGGTAACTATATATACTAATGAGACTCTAGAAAAATATAAACAACCCATCATTTAAAGAATATTAAAATGCCCAAAGACATTTCTGTGGCAAAATAACTCATGAAAAGGTTTTTAATGTTCCAATGCTTGGAGACTCTCTTTGCTGCCCAAAAGCCTTTTTTAAATCCTCCCTGGTGGCACAACAAGTTAAAAAGTGCAGCACTGCAAAGCTAGGCTAGCCCCAGCTGCTTCAGCAGGAGTTAGATCTCTGGCCAGGGAGCTGACTCACGTGGTGCCACAGACCTCTCCTGTCTCGCCCACTGCTCCCCTTAGCAGTGTATTCAGTAGATCTGCCTCTTCTACTCCTCACTCTGTCTCTAGTGAATCCTCTCATCGCCCCTGCACCTCTGGCCTGTACCCCAGTTCTGAATGCATAAATAAATAAATCATTTTTTTAAATCCCAAAAAATTCTTTATCATTGACAAAGAGAGGTCTTGCAATTGGAAAAGTAGGGATACTTGTGTCCTATGCCAGCTGAAGCCAGAAGTTCACAAACTTGGCTGTACTTCAGAAGCAGTGTGACTGGAGCCAGGGAGTCTTGGTCAAATTATTTTTAAAAATCAGGATCATGACAGTGGTGCTGTCAGTATTTCTCAAATGCTCCCGAGATGATTCTAATGTGCAGCACCAATTAAAAGCACTGATGTGACAAGCCAATTAATTATCCATCATTGTCACTTTAACTCCCTGAGATATTCCTGAATACCTTCCACATCACCGGTGAGCAGCTGCTAGGTTCAGGCTCAGTGCTTCCCAGCCCTGTGGCTCTTGGCAGTTAGTTGAGCCCACAGGTTTTCCCATTTGCATGAGAAGATGCCATCCTTATATCGCTGTCCTGAGAACCACTGAGACAATTCATAAAAAGTGGTGGCCACAGTGGCCCTGCAATGGTTAGCTACCATCAAATGTTAATTGTATCATTCTACTCTTCTAGGTCTCAGAGATACTTCAAGCATGATCTCTGCTTTCTAGAAGATGAAATGTAGAGAGGAACAGTGACTTGTGCAAGGCACAGAGCTGATACCTGAAGGAACCCACACTGGGCCCCAGGTATCTTCCAGCCCAGAGAGCACACATCCACCCCCCTAAACACCCACCACACTCACACCCTCATAAGCCTGCTCGCCTGGTTGTTTGGTGTTCACTGTAGCTGTAAGTGGTTTCATTTACATTGATCACTGAAGAAATGTTGCTGGATTTAGCAAAACAACTATCGTTCTGTAATCATGTTCCTTATAGTCTTTACCTGGATGTGGTAGGCAAGTCTCAGAGCACCTGTTAGCCGTATGAGTCAGACTAAGTGAGAATCAGCCAGGAGGCTCTACCACACCCCTGAGTTTGGCTCAGACTCTCAGATCATCACTCTTTGAGATCATGTCTGGTCCAGGGCTGGCAAATCTGGCCAGAGGCTTGTTTTGGTAAAGTTCTATGGGAACACAGACATGCTCATTTGTTTTTGTATTGTCTGGCTGTTTCTGTGCTCCAATGACAGATTTGAGTAGCTTCAACCCAAATAGTATGGTCCACGAAGCCTAAAATATTTACTATCTGACCAATTGCCACAAAATGCTGCAAACCCCTCCCTGGTCTGGTGTACTTTTTGCAAACACCTCATGGCAAAAGAATTTCCTTGGATTTCACAGGCAATCAGAGCAGGACCATAGAGCAGCCCATCCCCTTACTGGTTTGCATGTGGCCGCCAGTGCCTTCTGCATGGTGGGAAGTGTGATTTGAACCAGCGCCTCTTGAAATATTCTCTTCCGGATGGTGCTGCTGTCATAATCATATTGCTGTCAATACAGAGACAGAAACATATGCTAAATAGCAACACTGCAATCTGTTAACTCTGGCGTAAACAAAAAGTCTCAGCCCCACACATCCTCCCCCTCCCCCCACTGCCTAATTTCTGAGGACTCTGGTGTTTTCACCAGAAATGCACAGAAATGCACCTTTCTGTGCATTTCTTACACTTAGGCAGAGGTTCTAACTGATAATGACCCACCTTTTTCTCTCCTCAGACAGATAAGGAAATTGAAGCAAGACAAAACAAGCAGCCCCTGCACTGCAGAAGTGGGGTGTGACTTTGGATAAAGTAGGGTGTGGTGTGGGTAGAAGTGGGCATTGAGTGTGGGCTTTATCACCCTTGTCCAGGGTAGAACCATGATCATCTCCCTCTTTCACTCCACATCCCTAAAGCAGGACAAGTGGTTTGTGGTGATTTCCCCCAAAATGAGAGGGCCTGGCTCCTAGCTACCTTTTACTGTGGTTTTTGAGCAGAGACCCAGAACAAGAAAGATGATGATTCACTCTGTTGTGCACAGACTGTCCAATCCTAGGGACCAGGATTTGGTTTCAGATGACACTTGAAGGAGATTACAGAAAAACTGGAAGCTACTTGTCACAGGCTGTGGCAGAATGGACAGGCAGGCCAAGAGTGGTTAGAGAGATGAGGGATGTATCCTGGAGAGTGCAACTTGGGGGAAAATAAGAGCTCTGTTCAAACAGCTGAAGGCTATCACGTGGAAGAAGGTCATGAACAAAGAGGCAGAATGAGCCAGGGCTTAGGTTTACTTCGCACGGCCTAGCAGTTAGTGTCTCAAGAAGAAACAACTGTCTGAGCATTGGTGTCCTGACACAGAAGTGGTAGTGACATTCTTTTTCCCCTCAGTTGCATGTTCATTGTTATCGTGTGTGTGTGTGTGTTTCCATGATCTTTCTTTTAAGCTCAATTGCTGGAGTCTCCTACTTTCTGAGAGCAGCAAGAGTTGGTGGGCCACTTGGGGAACCATGCTAACTCTGAGGGACGTGATCTTGTGCTACCGGTCACGTTAGGGAGTAGAGGGTTGTAAAACACAGTGTATTAGGGTGAAGGATTGTTTTAGCTCCAAGCTTGCCCTTGATGTGCCCACTGATTTTCCATAAATTACACTAGCTCCTAAAGAGCCTGTTTCCTTGTCTCTACAATGAACCCATATTCTAAATCTCATACAACTTCTTATGAAGGGCAAGTGAAACAGGATAGGTTAAAATAAAAAGCTCTAATGACAAACACAATTGGTGTAAGCGTCTATTATTACAGCCACTTCCATGCATACTTATGCATGAAGCCTATTGAAAGCAATTTTATAGGGCCAGTCTCTTTCTTGGCCATGAAATTTATGTTAGCTTCACTTAAATGAGTTTTACTATACTGTAAATTATTTGAAGAAAGAGGGCGTGCCTTGCCTGTTTCTATGTTCCATGCAATACTCATTAAAACGCTTTGCTTCCAGTGGGCCGCCAGTAAATATCAAATCCAACTGCTAAGAAAGGAAGCCAGCCAGTCATCTCCTTCCAGCAGATGGTCAGATGTGGAGCCCTGTAGTCCCTAAAGTAGCCACTAGATGGCAGAACAGGCATGAAAGTCTAACTGGGGCGCTGCAGAACTTCGAGAGGAAAGGAAAAGATGAGATGAAAAGGGGGCACCAGAGAAAGGACTTGGTAATTTCCACTTTATAAAGAAGCATAGGTCACATTCTTGATGTATGCTACCCATTTATGAGAGGATGATTTTACCTTTAAGACTCGGAGCTTCACCTTCTCAATGGCAGCTGCAATTTTGGAAGCTTCTCCTTGGAGGTGTGGGGAAAGCAACTGCTCAAGAGTGAAGACAGCATTGCCCATCAACTAGAAATCAAAGCGACACAGAAACAGATGCGGTCAGAGGCGGGGGCTGCACCGGGTCTGTGTAAGTGGCCTGGAGCAAGGGAGGGAATGGTCATCAAGAGGAGTCTCCTCAGGCACTAACTGGGGTGGCCCTAGCAACAACAGGTTCTCACTCCACTGCCTGGGCTGTGAAATGAAGAGTGCTGCCGTGGGATCAGCCAGGGGCTAGACACACAAGTGTGCACACACAAGCGCATGCATGTGTGGGAGTGGAGGGGGGTGTGCATGCTTGTGTCTTTTCTTCTCACTTCTTTCACCCTGAACTGAAAAACAGAGACCTCCCCCCCCCCCCCACACACACACAGCAAACCTATCATACCCACGTGTTCCTGCTCTTCCTCCATTCTCTGGTACCTGCCTCCAGGGCTTAAGGTGCTGAGGTAAAACCTCCTCCAGTTATTTTTTGGCTGCTTTACCTTTGCACACCTCCTCCCGCCCCCTTTTAGGTGAAGATGAACCACTCTACAGCAATTTCGCTCCACTTCCCTCTCCAGCCACATGTCTCTTGTTTCTCTACCAGACTGGGAGGGAGGGAGGCAGCCTTAGGGCCTTGGGAGATCCTGCTGGCACCCCCAGAGGTGAGGGACCAGAAATGGAAGGGCCAAGTTTTTTGGTTTTTTTTTTTTTAAAGATTTATTTATTTATGCATACAGACCTGGGGTACAAGCCAGAGGTGCAGGGGCGGTGAGAGACTTCACCAGAGACAGAATGGGGAGCAGAATAGGCTGACTGATGAAGTACACCGCTGAGGGGAGCAGCAGGAGGGTCAGGAGAGGTCTGCTGTGCCATGTGGTCACCTACGAGGGTGTGGATCAAACTCATGCTGAAGTGGCTTTAGCTAATTAATGCTGTGCTTCAACTGGCTGTGCCACCAGGGAGGGCACGAGGCCAAGTGTTTTTTAACATCAGATTTCTTATTCTCCTCTCTTGATAACAGTTTCACCAGGGGCCACCATTAATTATCAAAGGGATTTCTGTTAAAGGTTGCCTAATTTTGTTCCTTGTCTGTTTTTTTTTTCTTTTAATTTTTTTTTTTAAAGATTTATTTCTTTGTGCATATAGAACTGGGATACAGGCCAGAGGCTCAGGGGCGGTGAGAGGCTTCACCAGAGACAGAGTGGTGAACAGAACAGGCAGATCGAGGAAGTACACTGCTGAGGGGAGCAGCGGGTGGGTCAGGAGAGGTCTGCCGCGCCATGTGGTCACCTCCAGGGCAGGCGGGAATCGAACTCATGCGGAAGTGGCCTCAGACTCTCAGTGCTGTGCTTTAACCCGCTGCGCCACCAGGGAGGGCCCCTTGTCTGTTTTTAATGCTTCGCAACACAGACATTAGCTATAACCCTGCCTATACATTTTAAGAAAGAAAATATTCTTTTTTTCTCCAGCACACCTTTCTCCCAGCGTCCCAGACACTGTTGTGAACTGATCTAAGACTCTGTCCCCCCATCATCTCCCTGAAATGGGAGCTGCACAGAGTCCAGCCCACAGCAAGGTCCCCAGAAGATCTACAAAATAGACTCGTGCTCGTCACTTCAGGACTCACACCTTTTCTTCAGCTAGAAAGCACTGTCACAGAGAGAGAAGCGCTAAGTGCCTTAGGGGAAAAGAACATGCCTATCATGCAGACTGAAGAAATCCCAACAGGATTGACTGATTGACTGACTGAGCGCCTCTTCAGTCGGTTGAGGAATTAATTGAAGCTGGTGGTATCCAACTCTGGCTGCTTTAGAAGCAGTGAGAATGGGAAGGGGGAAGTCTTAGTAAAATTGTTTTTAAAAATCAGAATCAAAGGAGTGGGGCTGAGGCATCAGTATTTCCTCAAACACTCCCCAGATGATTCTAATCTGCTGCCCAAATTAAAAGCAGTAATGTGACAAACTAAGTAATTATCCATTAATGTCACTTTAACTCCCTGAGATATTTCTTCTCTGTGATGCTCATCAACGTGGAAAAAAGAGGAAGCCAGCTGGAAGGACAAGAATTATCCTCACTTGACATGATGATTAAAAAAACAGGCCTCCTTCTTGGGCTGCACCAGCACCCACATCTCACTGTCCCCCACTTCCTCCTGCCTCATCCACCCCTGCTGTACCTACCTCTTGCATGTAGTTCTGTGTCCTCTGCACCACCACGTCCACGTGGGGGAACCTGAAGCGGCTCCTGAGATCCTGTAAGCGCTCTTGGAGCTGGTTGACTCTGATATAACAAGGTTCCATCTTCACAGAATCCATCGAAAGATTCTTAAGCTGTTCTAGATGCTGCATTTTGGCGATGGAAAAAAATTAAGCAGCTTCAGACATTTACATAGTATATTCAGCACCATTACATATTGTATAGATTCTGAGCAATCAAATGCATGTTAATAGCTCTCACTTCTCAGATCCATGGTATCTCCATTATCTGATTTTCTCCCTTCAGTGGGTCCCTGGGTGACTCTATTGCTGAGATAGAGCAGCACTGGCTGAACTGGACAATGGGGGGACTCAGGGGTGTATCCAGGGGACTGCAGTTGTTCTAAGCTCCTGATGGTCTCAAGCTCCCAGGTCCAGACCTCAGGGAAACTGCGGGTAGGCTCTTTGGCTCATGGAATTGTTGCAGAGGCCAGGAAGCTCTCCCCCCCCCCCAGAAAATATCAGTGGTGGTGGAGGGGTGGGGGATTCAAATGCCCCCTGAAATCCTAGAGTGAAGCCAGATGCCTATAGTTCTCTGAGGACCCATAGTGCTCCCCTCTGCTCTAAGCTCTCTGTGGTGCTACTGGATTGGGGGGGGGGGGCGCGAGGGTGCGGGTGATAAGCAGAGACCTGACCTTATTAACTGGGGAAGGTTTTAAAACTGGGGTCTCTCAAACAAAACAAAACTATAAGAAAAAGACAAAACTAGCAAGCTGAGGCAGGAGAGAGGAAGGGAGGGGTCAAAACAGGAGAGGGAAGAGCATAAGGGACAGTGGTGATGGACCAGGCGCTGTGGTGAACTATAGAACATCTGAGAGAAGTATTCAATATTCTGCAAAAATGAACAATGAGGTAAGAAAATAGATAAGCTGCCAAAACATTTGCAAAATGATCTTGTTTAGGTACAGTGGCATGTGTGAGTTAAGTATAAAGAAACAAGAAAGGAAAAGAAACAGGCATCTGTTTTCTGCACTGACTTCTGGGGATGTCCATCATATGTCAAGTGCAAGACCAAACCGCCAAGCGGTATTTGTCAGTGACTCTTAAAGCCTAAGGAGCATGAAATCCTCTGGAGGTCATATAAAAACAGACTGGGGCCCTACCCCCGGACTTTCAGATTCATAAAATCATGGAAGGGCCTGAGAATCTGCTTTGAACCACAAGGTACTGACGACCAGCTGGTTCAGCGACCATGCTCTGAGAAACATTGGTCTTTATCATGAGCCTTTATTTTTTTGAAAACAAATAAACTAACAAACACATTATGCATACATGAAGATTTAGGCTAATATATGTGCCTTAAGGAAAGAGGATGTGAAAACATAGTAAACTATTTATTTTAGTTATTTCAAAGAATTGGAAGAAGAAGTGGCCTCAGAGTTGAGGAACAGACTAGGATTGGGTGGGGATGGGTGATGGTGATTAATTTGGACTTATATATGTTTATCTAGTTTGTCTCTCATTCATTCACCTGGTTTCCATTCTTAATGGTTTTCAAGTTGCAAAACTAATTAGTATGCTTGTTGGAGGGAGAAGGGCGGAAGGTGGAGGGAATGAAGAGGGGCTGGGAGAGAGGAAGGAATGCAAACGCATCGTTCGGAAAAGGCAGCCCCCACTCAGACAGTCCCCACTCAGCATCTTAGCTTCGCATCCCACCTCCTTTAGCTGGGTACTGTCTTTGGTGGCCTGAAAGTTCTGGCTAAGTTCATCCACTTCTTTTTCAAAGAGTGAGCGTACTTCACTGAACCCTGAGCTCACTGGTCCCATGAGCTCCTCCAGAATGGACGCCAGGAACGGCTGCACGTTCTCGGCACAGCTTTTCTCTGCTGGCTGTGCTACCATCCCTGAAGCAGGAAAGAATCAGAAAAATGAGACTTAGAGCAAAATTGTATTTGGAGGCCCTGGTGTAAGGCCAGGGCTGGACATCACTGCACAGCATCATATAACAGTCACAGCAAGCTCACATAGCCTGGCCAGACCAGTCCCGTGACCTGGTACTGCTGCAAGTGCACCAGCAAATGGAAAGCAGCAAATCTTTGAGAATTACATCAGCAGAATCTCTTCCCTTCCTAAGTTTCCCTGGCTGGCCTCTATGAACATAGCATTCCTGATATAAAAAAGAAAGCCCTGGAGACCCTCTTATTTACTATCAGCCGTCCTCATGACATATACCTAGTTTGCCTCGTAAAAGCCCAATTTATTCAGCTTGAATTCTCCAAGAGTTAATCGACACCTTAGTTCTCCTCTAACCTAGGACAGCCTAATGCCTTGGGAGCTGCTTGGCTTCCTGAACTGTGGGCTGCGGGTGTTTCCTTGTGGACAGGGTGCATGTTACACCCCCAGGGAGGAGACGCACTGCTGTTTTCAAGGATGCAGAGATGTTGTCTTGTTGAGTAATGGTTTTGTGACCTGTTACAAAAGGTTCATGAGGTTCTGGAAGTCAAGGAGTGTGGGAAGAGGGGTGAGCCGCCAAAGGGCTGGGGAAGAGCTGGGAGCTGACACTGCTGCCCCTGCTGCTCTGGAATCTCAGCAAGTGATCGCTGCCCCAGTTTTTTCTCTGTAAATGGAGATCAGGAGACTTACTGATTGTCAAGCTTATGTGAGGATGGGGCAAGGGGGCCATGTTCAAAGTGCTGAGAGCTGTAAGCTGCACTCCGGAAGGAGCAGGAACTGCTAGCTCTCATGATCCCCTTTGGCATTCTTGTTTTTCCCAATCAACCCAATCTAAAACAGCTCACTCGTGATGAGGGGACCACATAGGTTTTAGGCTGACACGGACTCCTGGTTGAGGGCCATGGTGCTCGCTGTTCCTGCCTCTCTGGGGCATCTAATCAGTGTTGTTTTCCTCCTGTTGCAGTATCCATGACCTCATATCCTTATCTGCTGGTAAAATCATGTCATTTTCTTGAATCCTCATAGCCCTGTATTCTGCTGGAGAAGAATAAATGCTCATCAGATGAATACCTAACTGTGGAGCAGAACTAAAAGCTGTTGGTTTTACTCTCAAGTATCGAATGGGAGGAAATAATGTGATCACACCTTAAAGCTCCCAAAGTTTTTTACAAATTCAAAGTCTAACATCTTTGTGTTAAAGATAGAGACCCGGAGGCCTAATAAAAAGGTGTTTCTGATTTTAAAAAGATTTGATCATGGATTCCTTTCAAGGCTTCTTTTAGGAAACAAGCACTAGTCCTGGGCAGAATTCTTCCATCTGATGTGGAATACACTGGAGCTACAGAGATTCAGGCCAGAAAGAGCCTGGCTTTGTCCAGGTCATGAGAATGTGGATAGCTGGGCCCCGTTTGATCCCAGATAACAGTAATATGGCCACAGGAACTGACTATTGATTGTTTAAAGTTATATTTAAATACATAGTCAATTCTGTTGGGGGAAAGGATGTCCTAAACAAAATCCCCAAGTAGGTTTTATGGATCCCAACCCTACCCCAGACCAAAGAGATCTAAGACACCAAAGACTACAAGTCCCATAATGTCATCACCACCGAAGGGAGGATACTGGGAACTGAGGGCGGAGTTAAGCAGCCAGGCTTGGTAGATAACCAGACATGTGGGCCTTGAGGGGCCCTCTTGGCTTTTTGCCAGCTTTCAGCAAAAAAACATTGGAGTTCCAGATCAGATCCTTACAAGGACCTTCCTTCAGATCCTTACAAGGACCTATTGAACATTCTGGAAGCAAGCTGGGCTGTGCATGAAAGGACCAGTTGATTGCAAAGGTACCACCACTAGTCAGATCCTAGGTTTTGTGAGTACAGGAATGGTTTTCCTTGGTTGCTGCTAAAGCTTTACCACCTAAATGCTAAGAAAGCATTTAGAAGATATTTTTAAATGAATCAGTGTATGAGCAAATGAATAAATAATCTGAAAACTGACTTCATAAGAGAATTGTTCATAGGCCAGCACAGGTGAGCCAGAAAGCTTCTCTTCTGAAGTGACATTCAATGTGGTGTCTTGTGGGGATACAGAGGTGGAGAGCCATAGAATTTTATCCTCCCCAATTTCTTGGAGGCATCTAATGTCTCTTATGAGGAAAGAGGCAAACTTTTCTTCAAGGGCCTCATAGTAACCATTTGTGACTTTGCCATCCTCCATAAGTTTAGTTCCAACAACTCAAGTCTGTTGTTGAAGCAGAGAATCAGCCACTGACAATATGTAACTGGAGGGTCAAGACTGTGTTCCAAGGGAAATTTATTTACAAAAAAGGTGGTGGGCTGGATTTGGCCCAAGGTCCATAGTTTGCTGACCCCACCCTCATAGATACTCCTGACTTCAGAGGACTCCAAGGTACATAGGAGTCAAATGACCTCCCTGGGTATGCGTGACTGGCTAATGTTGAAGTAGTATCAGGATCCAGATTTAATGACTCTAATCCCCCAACTATTTTTCTTGTCAAAGGGAAATCCATTCATTCATCAGTGCAAATGTTCATTGACCATATTAAAAAAAAACTGGCAACAATAAATGCTGGTGAGGATGTGGAGAAAAAGGAATCCTTTTATGATGCTGGTGGGGATGCAAACTGATGCAACCACTGTGGAAAGCTGTGTAGAGTTTTCTTAAACTACTAAAAATGGAGCTACCATATGACCCAGCAATTCCACTCCCAGGAGTCTACTCAAAGGACACAAGTACATTCCTATGAAAGGAAACTTGCACTCCTGAGTTTATTATAACATTATTTACAACAGCTAAGATATGGAAACAATCTAAATGCCTCCAAACAGATAAGTGGATCAAGAATTTTTGATATATATATATACAATGGAATACTATTCAGCATTCAAAAAGATAAACTCGTACCATTTACAGCAAGGAGGATTATGCTCAGTGAAATAAGTCAGAAAGATAAAGAAAAATATCATATGGTTTCACGTATAGGAGAATCAAACAAAGTTTCAACATAAAAAAGACTGAACCTGCAAGTAAACCATAGATCTGAGCATACAGCAGAAGGGAAGGAAGAGAGATCAAAACAGGGAGGGAGGAGCACAAGGGGTTCTGGTGACCAAGGGTGATGTGGTGATGGAAGATTTATGATTGAGGGGAGAAATAAATTACTGTACAAAAATGAACAACAATGTAGGAAAATTTAAAAGGTAAAAAAAAAAAAAAAGTTATCTTAAAAAAATATCCCATGGGGATATTTTTCGATCTGCCTGTTTGCTCCCCACTCTGTCTCTGGTGAAGCCTCTCACTGTCCTTGTACCTCTGGCCTGTACCCCAGCTCTGTATGCATAAATAAATAAACCTTAAAAAAATCCCACAATGTTCTCTAAGAGTCTGTTTATATCAGGTATGGTACTAGGCCCTACCTATACCAGAGCAACCTGGCCCTCCTCTTAGGGAACATACAGTAGAGACTAAGCGGGACAGCACCCAGTATTATTCAGTACAAGAAGCACTATAAGGAACATACAGCCATGTCAAAATATGCTGGCACCACCACAAGGCAAGAAACAATGTTTCCTCCGCCTTGTGTCACTGAGGTGTCTATGGAGAGGTCCAGGTCCTTGGCAGTACTCTCTAGCAGGCTCCAATTACAATTGTTATTGCCTCTTCCCAATTCCCTCAGTTTAATCCTCTGAAAGCACAAAACTAATGACAGTGGTGTAGCCACTAAGGTACAGCTTATTTTGCAAGTAAGGACACAGATTATCTCCACTGACCTTTGATTTTTCCAGTTAAAAAGTTCTTTGAGTTCACAATCTGATCCATGTCTGAACGCACAGTTCCTTCCAGGCCCTTCGTCAGAGCTCTGCATTCCTCCTTCAAGGCGCTTAATCCTTCTGAAACCTGACTCTGCACCATGTTGTAGGCCTCTTCCAGGAGCTGCAACACACCGCACGCATCTCAGAGCTTTGCCCCGGGAAAGCACACACCAGCATCACACAGGGGGAACAGGTTCCTTGCAGACTCTCACAGCACAAACAAAGAGTACACATTTCCCATTTCTCTTTCAAAGTTGGAGTCTGTTTGGATTCGTTCTCATGTGAGTGAGAATAAACAGACTCAACGCTCAGCAGCTCTCCACCCAGACAAAGAATTATTTAAACACAGCACTGCCCTTATACAGAGAAGAGAAGGGAATATTCATTTGGAGTGGCAGGGTTGCAAGGCAAAATCACCACTCACACTGAACCAGGCCCGCTTTCTCTCATTCTTCTTCCCCTTCATTTTGGGCAACAGGTCTGTCTGGAGGGTTGGCAGGAGTTCCTCCATGACCAGGCTACTCAGGATCTGAAAGCAGAACAGAGGTCCAGATTGGCCAGCCTGACATGGTGACGGCTGAGCGTCAGGCCCCCTGAAGAGTGTCTGAGGGAGCAGCCTCTCCTGCCTACATCAGGCTGTCCCAGGCCCTGTGAAATCTGCTGGGTTAATAGTTTCACCCTGACCTGAGGTCACAGAAAGTCCAAGTGTGACAGACTTAGAGTGGATGTTCCTAAAGATCTGCAAGGAATAGTAACACCTGCTGACACGTTTTCCCTCAAAGTCAAGTTTCACTTATTCAAAATAGAAGAATCTGGTGCCTTTGGGATAAGAGAATTATAGGAGATTTCAATTATGGGTAAGGGCATTCTCGCCAACACCATGAAGGGATCAGGCTTCGATTTGGCAGCTGGAGTCCTTGTTTGTATCCCCCACTCCTCTTCTAGCTCCCCCAGGGTCTAGATATCTCCATGTCTGTGTTTTTTGTCCTCACTGTGCCCAAACCCCACCTTCACCTCTTAAGGTTTAGAAAAAGAAGTAAATGACAAATACTTTGGAACAACTGGACATTTGTAGGATGAGCAGAATACGGGAGGAGGGGTGAACTAAAGTTCTCAGACTAGTTAAAAAAAAAGATTATTCCCAAATCTCTCCTGAAATTTTGCTTGGCTCCGTGAAAAGGTTTCTCTTGAATGTGAGCAGTGTTCTACACATCTGTAGCTTGTTATGTTCCTCCACAGAAATCTGGCCTCTCCTCCCCTCCCCCACCCTTAAATATAAATTTATTATACATTTCTTGGTGCTCACAGTTCAGCATTCAGTTTCAGGCAACAGACCAAGATTTACAAAAGAATAAGAGCCATTAGAAGAATGGAGGCAGGCAGAAAAATAGAGAATCATATGACCTCTGTTTTCTGCATTTAAATACTATTTGTCCAAAATGATTGACCTTGTAAAAATTCATATTAAGCTTTGGGAATTCAGAATACTTTTCTCTGAGGTCACTGGTCAGCCTTGGCTAGTGGAAATATTTATGCACTAACTAGCATTTGCCTATCCTCAGAACTGGTATAACATTTCAGCTGAGCTGAACTGAAAGGATTCCTGGGTGCAACAGAGTGGACGAGCCAGTCAGCCTCTGTGCCTGTGGGTTCCTGGGCAAGAGGCCTCCTGGGCCGTGCAGTGAGTGTGGCACCTGCCATCTGGGTGGTAGAACTCAGGGTGTGACAAAAATTATAATGGGATGGAATCTCTCTAGTTTTGGTAATTCATGGGTGAGGATTTTTTTTTTTACTTTTTTGAACCATTCTGTAGGGTCAGCAAGAAGTGTGCCAGTATTTTGAAGGAGTTTACGATGAACTTGACATGTACAAACCCCATGGAAATAAGCAGGTTAGATTCAAGTAGGTAATTAATACACCATAGAATGTCATCATGCTCAGGGGAGTGGGTCTCTTAGCATAGCATGGGGAGCTAAGAGGGTAAGGAAATGGACTCCAGAACTTACAATCAACTATAAATGTTATCTTGATTGAAAGTGTTAAACTTCAGACTCCTAGTAATTGTCTTCATCCATCCTTTGCAGAAACTGCTTTCACCCTGAGCAGTCATGAAAGGGGTTTGACAAGATGAAATTGTTAGGCCAAGATCAAAGAAAAGAATGTTCCATTTGGGTGGGGGCTCTTGGGGCTTATCACTTTCTTTGAGTCTTTCACATACAATGGTCCAAGAAACTTGGTTCTGTCTACAATTTAAAGAATTGAAAGGAAAATATGCCTGGAGAAAAATGGAGAGGGTGTGAGTTGCCAGGACTGGACTCAAGGACTGGCCCCACCACAGGCAGAGCCTCTGAAGTGCTCCCATCTCAGCAACATCAACCTCTTCCTCTAAGCTGCAGCGCCAGCCCACCAGGGCCTGTGCAAAAGCTCACCTGCCCAGGGATTCCCTGCCTTGCACAGCTCTCCCAGAACAGGGTTGAAAGCCTAGGGCAATGCCAGAGAATGAAGCTAATGTAAAAAACAACTCATCATAATAAAGAGGTTCCCCAACCTTTTCTCCTCAGCACAGATGGATCTATTGAGTTTTTCCCTGAGACCTAAAACGTAGCAACGCTATGTGGCCGTGCATAAAAAAATCCACAAAGGGACTGCATCGAGGTCATTAGAAAAAAGACAGAACTGGAACGTATGCACCTGGTCTAAAAAATATGGGTTGTTGTCTTGTCTTGAGACCACCCTGTTCTGTGGGAATTATAAGCTGCTCTTGGTCCATCTGTTTCATTTAAAGACAGTGAATAAATAGACCAAATAACTGTAAATACATTGTGCAAAACACTTTCCCTCATGACCTCATTTGATACATTTGTATTAACAAGTGAAACATATTCATGTTTTTACTGGTATACAAATATCTTCACTTTAATAGTCTGTCAGGCAACTTATTCCAGGGTATTTGCTTTGCCTGGACACTTGCCTAAAATAATCATCACCCAGAGGGCCTGCCATCCTCACTGTGTGAGTCATTACTATGAAGATAATAATGTAATGATGCTGAAAATCTTCTGAATACGGGTCCTTAGGGTCGAGTAGATTAAGACAATGTTATGATTAAATTCTCAGAGACATGAAGAAAAATGCAAATAGAACTAGGCTTTCACCAAAATAAGTCATAGTCTGAAACTCTGTCGTGCCATGATATTTTCTTTAACTATTTGGTAGCCGCATTGGGCTCCTGATCTCTTTTGTCTGCAAGTCTTAGGGCAGGTGCTGCTTCAGGTCCAGGTATAAGGTCACGGTGGACCTAACCTTGCCAGACTCTACCCAGTGAAGTTTTGGGCACCGTTTCCTTTCACCTCCAAGGTTGTTTCTGACACATGGAGGGTGCTGGACAAATAATCCTGAAATGCCCTGCCAGCACTCCCACTTTGAGCCTGTGATTTCACTAAAGAGACTCAGATTCCTGGAAAAGCAAAGTTTTCTATCAGATATTGATTTGTTCATATAGACCTCGGATTGTCTATTGGTGTGTCATTTAATAAGATTAAAATTTAAGCCCCTATCTCAGTCCCAGCATGAAGGTCTGGAAGGCTTGGATAGATAAAGAGAACTGATAGGTTGCTATGGGAACCAGGCCATCAGACCAGACCACTTTAACCATGAAAGTGGGAGCATGGCCAGGACATATTCTATGTCAAAGGTCAAGACCCAAGACCAGACATCCCAGCACTAACTGGCCCAAGCCAACTCCCCAGGCATGAAAAGCCCAGAAACAGATTAAAAAGGGATCTCCAGATCCTTCATTACAGATCTCTTTTGTGTCACCTGCTGCAGTGTATTTCAACAAGTTGCCCATTTCTGTTCTCCACTCTGTCTCTGGTGAACTCTTGCAGCCTCTATACCTCCAGATCTTCTCCCCACAACACTGACTTTTACTGATTTCTTCTCTGCTTTTCTTTTTGTTGCCTTTCCCACAAACGATTTTTTTTACACTACAAAATTTGTACCTTATTATGACTGTGTTCTTGGTATTTCAGGGGGTCCAGAAATGCACACCCCTTGCCCATACGCACTTCCACACTGCCTGTTCTCAGTGTGCTTCCAGGTACGCCCTGCCTCACCTCCATGGCCAGGGCCAAGTCATTTAGTTCTTTCTCTGGGTCATTCAGTCAGTTAGTATCTTGGAAGGTGCTTAGCACAGGTCAGCCGAAGGCAAAGAACAGCAAGTCAATGAAAACAACAATCAAAACCTCAGTGCTTAACCCCCAGAAAGGATTTATTAAGTACCCATGTTCAAGGGCATCATGAAAACTGATGAGCTGGCTGAAGCTCCAAGTGAAAGAGAAAAAAAAGAAGCAATTGGCATCGTTAAAATTCAGGGAGCTAATGGAATGTGAAACATATGTTCCCATGGTGGGTATCGATCTTTCCCTGGATCAGGAGTCAGAAACTGTCATGTCCTTTGCATGTGTCTACTTAGCATGTGACCCTGAAACCACTAGCCCCATGGGGCAGGGACATTCTCTGTTGCCCAGCATAGTGCCAGTAACACAGTGGTGCCACGGTAAGTGCTGTGGAGCAAATAAAACCGGTCAAGTCACTTAACTGTTGTACATCTGCTTCGGTTTTCTCATTTACAAAGTGGAAAGAACAATAATTGTTCCACCTACCCATAAGATTGTCAATCAGAGAGAATCAAGATTTGAACACAAGAAGCAGCTCTCACAGGTATTTAATACTGGTGTGTCTGTGAAATGTGTTTGTGCTATCCCAGGCCAATCACTTCAAATGCTTCAGTCTCCTCTTGTGCTTTTGTTTTTCTTTATGCTGCAAGCACCGTAAATCCTTTGCTGCTCATATTCATTAATGCACATGGTTCCCCAAAATATCAGAAATAAAGAATTGGTTCAAGTCCAGGATAGAAAGTATATAAGTTTAGAATCCACCAAAAGAAAAGTAACTGTAACAAGAGGAAGAAGATTCTGGGTCAGAAGGTAAAATAATAAAGAACCATAGTGAGAAAAGGCTTTTGGCTTAAAAGTTCAATGGCCATGCAAAGGCAAAGTCTCATCTGGTATCTTCCAAAGATTGTTCCCTAATAACAAGTTTTATTGGTCCCTGAAAAGAAGCATGCTGGATGAGACTAAACAATACCACTGGACAGTGTATGCCTCTAATAAATAATTCCTATCTCACCTCCTCTTTCTGGTGGGGTCAGTTGTTAGAGACCATCATGGAGGAGGGAGGTCACTCACAAAACAGTTTCCCTGGAGAGTTAAAATGGCCCTAGTACTTAGTCTATGGCTGGCATTTAATCAATGAGAGTGGGAAGTATACTCAACCACAGGAGGATGGAAAACTAGCAAAGATAATGAAATGTATAAAAATTAGCTAAAGCTTTCTGATTTTGTCTCCTTAGTGACTTCATTTATAAGTCGTTCACTAGATAAAGAAAACTATTTGCCAGATATTTTTCAATAACATCTCATTTAATTCTCACAGACCTGCAAGGTAAACATTGTCATTCCATTTTTTTGCTTTTGTTTTTTTCTAGAAACAGCAGATTAGGTTAAATAAGTTGGCAAGATTGAAATCTCGGCTGGGAACCTAAAGTACCACCCCCATAATGCCACACTTGATTCCAGTCTGGAAGGATGAGGCCATTTAAAAGAATAATTCTTTTTTTTTTTAAAAAAAGAATAATTCTGGCCCTCCCTGGTGGCGCAGCGGGTTAAAGCGCAGCACTGAGAATCTGAAGCCACTTCCGCATGAGTTCGATTCCCGCCTGCAGCCTGCCCCGGAGGAGACCACATGGCGAGCCAGACCTCTCCTGGCCCGCCCGCTGCTCCCCTCAGCAGTGTACTTCGTCCATCTGCCTGTTCTGTTCCCCACTCTGTCTCTGGTGAAGCCTCTCACCGCCCCTGAGCCTCTGGCCTGTACCCCAGTTCTGTATGAATAAATAAATAAATCTTAAAAAAAAAAAAAAAAAGAATAATTCTTTGGCCCTCCCTGGTGGTGCAGTGGGTTAAAGCACAGCACGAAGAAGCTTAAGGCACTTCCGCATGAGTTTGATCTCCGCCTGCCCCGGAGGTGATCCACATGGCGCGGCAGACCTCTCCTGTCTCGCCCACTGCTCCCTTCAGCAGTGTACTTCATCCATCTGCTTGTTCTGCTCCCCACTGTCTCTGGTGAACCTTCTCACCCTCCCATCTCTGGCCTGTGCCCCAGTTCTGTATGAATAAATAAATAAATCTTAAAAAAAAAAAGAATAATTCTTTGTACAGAGAATGTAGACTCAGCACTTCCCATTGGACTTGCTTGCAATGCTTGGACCTTATTTAATGACGGTCTGGACACTTTGGAGTAGATGTTGATGGCTTGCTGACCAAATGCTTCCAGACAATAAGAGAAATGGACTTTGATCTTCCATTCTAGTAAATTTCTATGATGGCTTATTATGACCCTGACCCGCCTACCATGTAGATGGAAAAGGACTCGAAATTCCAAGTTCTGACTTACTTGGGTTTCATCTCCAATGTTCATTTCCCACGAACCATAGTGCCCCTTCTCCTGCTGGAAGAACTGCACAGCTTCTAAAAAGGCTTGGGCTTCAAATGTCATGTGCTTCATGTAATCTAAAAGAAAGAAGCAAGGGCAGTGAGCAAAGAAGTCATTTTTTCCTGATATTTCTCCTGGTTCTCCAAGTGGAATGGATCAGAGACCAAGCATTAGAGTAATATCACAAGGGATGCAGAAAAGTTAAGCAAGAGATGAATTTGCAAAGAAATCACTAGCAGTATCCATCATATCACCATGCCAGCTGATTCATTCTATTAGAAACATATCCATCCCCCTTTCTCATTTTTGTGACTGCCTCCTGCAGGCACCTGGGTATCTAAGGCATCCCCTCCTACTTTCCAGAACAAAATTTCAAATTCTTCATGACCTGATTTCTACTTTCAGACAAAATGATATCAAAAGAACATGTTAATTTATGTAAATGAAGGATGATTGTGCAGCTATCAATATGTTGGTTTATAAAAATGAAAGATGATAATTACTAACATTTAGTGGGGTCCTGTTCTGCTAAACATAGAGTGTATTTCATTGAAACCTCACAAAAACCTCTGAGGTGAGTACAATTATCAGTTCTACTTTAGTGATATGGAAACAAAAGCATGGAAAGATGAATTTATGGACTGGAGTCATGCAGTTTCTACAGCTGTGCGTTCAGGCAGCCTAACACCAGGGCATGCTTCTAAGTACTATACTACTCTGTCTCCCATACTTGTTTTTTGGGTCTGGACTTCCAAACATACTGGATTTTTAAAAGGTCATATCTGAAAAGTAATGGCCTATTGAAAAAAATGAACATCTAAAAGTAGGATTTTAGGTGTAGTTGAGGAAACAGGGGCTAACTGGTATCCCCACAAAACACACTATGCATGCAAGTCTCTCCATTTCTGCTATAAATTACATGTTTGTACCACCAAATTCATCGCTGAAACCATACTCCTCAATGCGATGGTACTAAAAGATGGAGTCTTTGAGAGGACATTAGGATAGCACAGTGGAACCTCATGATGGAATTAGTGCCCTTATAGAAAAGTTAGCACTATCTCTGTCTCTGCTCCTTTCCCCCAATTTTTAAAAAAGATTTATTTATTTATTCATACAGAAATGGGGTACAGGCCAGAGATGTGGAAGGTGAGAGGATTCACCAGGGACAGAGTGAGGAGCAGAAGATAGATGAAGTACACTGCTGAGGGGAGCAGCAGACATGTCAGGAGAGGTATCCGCGCCATGTGGATCTCCTCAGGGGCAGGCGGGGATCGAACTCATGCGGAAGTGGCATAAGCTTCTTAGTGCTGTGCTTTAACCCGCTGCGCCATCAGGGAGGGCCCCTTTCCCCAATTTTTTATCCCATTCCCCACTCCACCTCTGTAAAATGTCTCTTGTATATAATTGTTCATTATTATTCCCCCCACCCCACCCCAGTCTTTTATCCTGCTATGAGTGAAACCATCTGGTATTTCTTGTTCTTTCTTTCTTTCTTTTTTCTGGATTAAGCATGATCCCTTTCAGCAACATCCATGTTCCTGCAAAAGGCACGAGTTTATCTTTTTTGACTGCTGAGTAATATTCCATGGTGTATATGCACAACATCTTTTTTAATCCAGTCATCTACTTTTGGACATTTTGATTGATTCCATGTCTTTCTGTAACTAAAGCAGCAATAAACAGGGGGGTGCAGTTATCTTTTTGAATCAATGTTTTTTGTGTCTTTTGGGTAGATACCTCAGAGTGGGATTGCTCCATTTTTAGCAGTTTGAGAAACTTCCAAACAGTTTTCTATAGTGGTTGTGTAACAGCTTGGTCCCCAGGAAAAGGGGAAGTTCCAGGCTCCCTGCCCCACCCAGGAGGGTGGAGCTGTGCAGAGAAAAGGAGAGAAGAGAAGGAATCTGAAGAAGAAGGAACTGGGATGGAGAGAGCCACAAGGGGACCTGAAGAAGTGACATGGAGCAGCAAGCATGTGATGAAGAAACTGTGCTTGTATTTTGGCCCTGGACTGGTTGAAAGAGATGTGGGCGAGAGACCCACGAGGAAGTTGACTATGGTAGTGTTTATATTGATTTTGATTTTGCTCTTTTCCTCCCAGACTTGTCTGGCCATGTCTGACCCTTTTGTACGGGTGCCTACCAAAAGGCATTTTAGTCTTGTGGCGGGTTTTCAGGCCTTGCTTTGGACCAATCCCTTTTGGGTAGACTTTTACCCAGGAGGGGATGGGTAACTTCAGGTGTCTGGTTTAGAAAATATATTCTTTGTCTTCTGTGTTGTATACTCACTGTATTAAAGTTCCTTTTCATTAAAGTCTTACATGTTTTGTCTTGGTGTGTTGGATGGCAGAACCTATCTAGAGCAGGCAGGTTTGTGGGTTCAGGGGTGTCTCTCTCTCCCTGCCCTATAACAGTTGTAACAGTTTGCATTCCCACTAGCAGTGCAGGAGAGTACTTTTTCTCCACATCCTCTCCATCATTTGTTGTTGTGAGTTGTTTTAAGATGTGCCATTCTTACTAGTGTGAGGTGGTATCTCATTGTGGTTTTAATTCGCATCACCCTTATTACAAGTGATGTTGAACATTTTTTCACATGCCCAAGCTGGCAATTTTTAACTCACATAACTAGCTTTTTGAGGACACAACTTATAATAGAATTACAGAAATCTTAGGAGATAAATGAATTTTAGAAATAATCTAACTTTGATGGTGGGTAGAGTGGGTACCTACAGATATCAAGGTGTGAAACTGTATGCACAAAATTTATATAGTAATGTAAACCAATGATGCTTCAATATAATTTTATTTGAAATAAGTAAACACAGAAAGGTCCTATCATAGCTTCCTAACCTTTAGACTCATTAAAAAAAACACACACACACACACACAACATAATCCTCTTCCTTACTCAAATAAAAAAAATTGAATCTAGCAATAAAGAGATCAAGTCTTAGAAAGAGGAAGCAGATGAAGTGAAGTGATTGAAGAATCGAGTCTCTTGCCTCCTCCGTCTCCCCCAAAAGGACATGAAGTTCTCTCTATTCTGGTGGAATATGATCTGGTGGAATGTGACATGTGGTGGAAACCCCTAGCAGCTATTTCCCAGGAGGGCTTACAGAACTTAAGATCGAGACTGCTCAGTCAAGGACTAAATGGTTAACATGGGGCATCAAGCAGAACTAACAGGAAGACAACAATTAATAGCTTGTGTGTTGACTCTTGAGACTGGCTTACAAGATCATCAGCCACAGAAACGTGGAGAAGAAGAAATACAACTCAAGGCATAGCCTCTTCAGCATTCGAGTGAAATCCTGTACAGTGAAGGTACCATGAAGCCAGAGCACTGCCTTCCAGAATGTGAAATTGCAGCTGCCACTACTAAGATCAACACAGATTCAGTCAAAGTCTAAATCAGAAAAAGGACATGAGCAAAATTCAGTTTTCTAAATGCGAATTTTATTTTAAGGTATTTTCTGCCTTTTTGGTTTTTTCTGGTTTGGGAAATGTTTTCGTGTTTAATCTTAGAAGTTTGAAAACAAAACTAAAGTCCTGGTATAAAGTAACAATGAGGGGGTCTCTATGGGTCTCAGCACCCTGGGAGGGGCTCTAGTGACTGAGATGGAAACTGTAATTACTACATTGAGATTCAAGATTGACTCACAGGCTCTTATTTTTAACAGCTGTTTTCATTTTCAACCTAAGGAAACAAAGAGCTGGAAGAAAATGTAGTACTTGGATGGAGTTAATACTGTCAGACCCAGGAGACTGAGAATTAAGTTTTAAATTCTTCATGTCCTCCCAAAAAGCATTAGTTTACTTATTTCTTTCCCTGCTAACCTAAGTAACGGGAAGAGAGATTGGGAATCCTGTCCATACCTTTACATCTAAGCAAATGACATTCTTACTGCCACTTAAATTTTCAAAGATCTTTCCAAAAATAACTGAAAAAAAGGGATTTGGAGACAATGGTATGGGAGCAAGATGTTAAAGAAGGAATAGAAGAGGCTAGAATGTAATATCAGTGGAGAATGAGGCACCTTGATAAAGAAAGAGAAAAAAAATCATTAGTCAAGTGAATCACAAAGGAAATTACCATCATTAAGCTTCAGCAATGAACTCTAAAAGAAAGAGGGTTCAGATTTGAATTCTGTACTTTACCACAAAAGGACTGAATTTTTAAGTACTCCTTTGCCAGAGAACAAGTGTTTACCCTACTGATTCATCATTAGATTTTCAGCTTATAAATGGATTAAATAAACTTATTTATATAATATATTCAGAACAGTTTCTACTGTCATATTCATAAATATCTGTCCTTATGATTATAAGCAAAGCTCAATAGCAATTATTGGATTATTAAGAAAATAAAGAACAAAGATTTGCTTTGTAAAAGACAGAACTATATTGCAATAGTAATATGATCTTCATTTCTTCTGAGTTGTTTGCAAAGGGCTTGCCAAGTTCAGCCAGCAACATATAGGTATTTGAGAGAAATCAGATTATTTGATCAACTTCCTGCCACAGATCTTGTGGGAAGAAATTCCAGGATCATAACTATCCCCTCTCTTGCCAACAAGCAATTGAGAGCTTACTTCAGTGGCCCCAGGACTGACAATGGTTTGGGATCTTTGAATCTTCTTCTTGCCAAACAATATAGAAAAAATGACAAGTACCAACTCAGACTCTTACTTTTCCATCAGGCTGCCATGTATTATGAGGATGTTCAAGGAGAAAGATAAACTGAGGAGCGATTTGACGTCATTAAATCTAGCTCCCTCATTTCATGGATGAGGAAACTGGAGCCCCAAATGGTTAATTTTTTTTAGTGGAAGGTCACACAGCTGGTAAGGCTCAGAGCCAAGAGCTGAAAATGTGGATCAGGCCTGTCATAAGTGGCCTTGGCATTCACGCTTACTTAAATCATAGACTATGTGAGTTGGAAGTCAACTTAAAGGTCACCTACCCCAACCTCTCCTTCAACACCAGGAATGTGCAGGATCCCAGAAAGGCATTCATCATTTGCCTGAATGTTTCCAAGTGACAGGAAACTCACAATTTAATGAAATAGTCCTTTCCAT